TCTCTCCCCACATAAATTCTTAACTGACCTCCCTCCCTGCACATCTACCTGTATATTGACGCACAGAGGTAATGATTTAGGCTACTGGCGCTATATAGAGAATAAAATTAAATAAAATTAAATATTTTAATTTATTAAAATAGGGGGGGGGGGTTATTTTAATATTTTGTGACTAGGAAATACAGTATATAAGTTTTGTGTTTCAGATTTCACTAGAAAATAAAGGCATGGTGGTATTTCATAAAGACAGATCAGCCTGGCAAGTTGACTTAACTTAATTTTACTTCTAACTTGATCTTAAGTTCTGTTCCAAAGCAAGTTTAAAGGCTCCACCTGTGACTAGACTAGACCTTTCGCAACTGACATTTTAACTTACTGCAAATCCCTTTATGTCCAAAAGGTTCCAAGAACTATGGAACAAACAAAGCCATGGGAAACTAACTGATATGATAAACCACATATACCCAAAGCTGTCTGTCAACAACACACTTTTCTTTGTATTACATCATTGTTCGATAATCTTTTTCACAGACTTAAGCTACATTTTTAGCACAATATTGTTTCATTTCAGAACATTAACACAAGCTAGGAGTGAGTACAGCTGTAACTCTTCCTACCTCCTGTCCTGGTAGCCCGCAGATCCCCCTATCGCCTTTCTGCCCACTGACTGAGCTGTTCCCCTGGAAGGTATATATGTGCAGTTACACCAGCATGTCCTCTACACATACATACATGTATTCTTATTAGGATTACATTAGAAAACATAGTAGAAGTTTGGTATATTTGAGTATAGAATTATATGTATTACTAATTTTCTAAATAAAAGCCCTTTTATATTATGCAAACTACAACATAGAAACAAAACACCTTATTTGGTTGACAAATAAATAATTTGGCATTTCAATTGTGTACATTATTTTAATTAATTTCAATATATTTTGACATTCCTATTCAGATATTTTCTTTCATCTAATAATTTTCATATTTCAATGAAAGGGTAATGCATTTAAATTTAAAAAACATACCCACATCTCACCCAGACATCATAATTAAAAAAACATGCCCACATCTCACCCAGACATCATAATTATCACATTCTGTAATGACGGACACTCACAGTTTTTCCTTTTTTCCCAGACAAGCCGGCTATACCTCTGTCTCCCTGAAAGTGATACAATAGTACAAGTTACTTGATGAAATAAGCTGTTTGAAAAAGAAACACGTATAAGTAGGTAAAGCAGAGCTTGGCCACACTTTGTCCCCTTTCTTGAAGTATTCTTCTGGTGTTTCCACAGTCTCAAATGGTCCTGGAGGACCTTCTTCCCCTTGCTCTCCCTGACCAAGGCAACATATGTACACAAAAGTCACAGTGAAGCATGCATATTGAGCACCTCTACACAGTAACACACATAAGCTGTGTTGGCAATATCCACTCACCAATTATATATTCCACTGTATAAGGAGTTGGCTATATAGGGAGTAGTGCTGTTCAAATTCTCAACTGTAAATTTCATTCACTATATAGTAGACTAGAAAAAATCAGTGTGAGGCACCAAAACTTAGTGTACAGAAACTGTACCCTACATTGGTCAACTTACACAACCACACATTCCGACCTGTCACATAAGTGTTAGAACCATTTTTGAGAAACTTTACTGTAACTATTGACTGCTGTTAAATAGCTTGCTTATTAAATACTTGCACGTGAGATATAACAACAGTGCGAGTGCCACTGCTGCTGTAAAAACAAAGTTATTTTGATGTATTTGACTGCTTTACATGGGAAATGTGAATTCACAATTAATAGAGTATATTTAAGATTAGTATAAAACATCATTGTTACAACCGTCATGGTTGTGTAGGTGGATACAGTACAGTCAAGTATGTTACAAATAAAGTTAAGTGTACACAATTCTTTTATTTCAACATTATGAAGGCATATCAAAAAGACATACCTAAAAATAGCAATGTTGGTGTCCATGTTTGCATTCACTTATGCGACAGAGATAACAATTATGAATGTCCGGCACATAGTTATGTAGCAGCATAATATCCACCTCATATCCAAAATGTATCAACCGCTGTCTGTCCCTGTCCACTAGTGAGTGTTCTCTGTAGCAAACACTATATAGTGAGTGAGTGACTGACTGAACAAATGGACATTTTGTACACAGCTATAGAGAGCCTGTACATAAGATCAGAGCCCTGATTCCATGCCGCATTGCTCACCTGGTCACCTTTCGGTCCAGGTAATGATCTTCCAGTTTCTCCCTACGCATAAGTACACACAGGGAAAAGACAATAACATACAGGCAGGCAAGAACTCAGGAAAACACATCCATGAGTACACAAAACCTTTATAACAGTTCTTAGCTTAAAAAAACACAGTAGCACAATCTACAACAAAAACTTGGGTGTGCATGCTGAGTCAAAGCGAGCATACTCACGGGTGTGCCCCTTAGTCCGGGCAAACCAGGATACCCCTAGAATGCAGAAGGAAGCACAGTCAGAAGAACCATAGACTGGTTTGTGAGAATGTTTTTGGAAAAACATCTTACTGCATCCCCCAGGAGGGCCCACCACCCACAAGGGGAATGTCAGTGGTTCGGTGCTTTGTGGATCGGGTGCCGGTCAAGGGAGACCCTGGCTGTCTGATCCCTGGCTGACAAAACTGGCTTTCGGGACATGGAATGTCACCTCTCTGGTGGGGAAGGAGCCTGAGCTTGAGCGTGAGGTTGAGAGATATCGACTAGATATAGTCGGGCTCACCTCAACATATAGCGTGGGTTCTGAAACCAATCTCCTGGAGAGGGGCTGGACACTCTTTTCTTCTGGAGTTGCGGCGGGTGAGCGACGCCGGGCTGGGGTGGCCCCACAGCTCGGTGCATTAACAATGGAGTTTACCCCGGTGAACGAGAGGGCTATTTCCCTGCGCCTTCGGGTCGGGGATAGGTCTCTGACTGTCATCTGCGCTTATGCGCCGAATGTCAGTTCAGAGTACCTGGCCTTCTTGGATTCCCTTAGTGGTATGCTGGTTGGCGTGCCAGGAGGGGATTCCATCATTTTGCTGGGGGACATCAATGCTCACGTGGGCAATGACAGTATGACCTGGAAGGGGGTGATTGGGAAGAACGGCCTACCTGATCTGAACCCGAGTGGTGTTCTGTTATTGGACTTCTGTGCAATGCATGGTTTGTCCATAACGAACACCATGTTCGAGCATAAGGGCATCCATAAGTGGACATGGTACGAGCATGCCCGGGGCTACAGGTCGATGATCGTTTTTATAATCGTATCATCTCATCTGCGGCCTTCCATCTTGGACACTCGGGTAAAGAGAGGGGCAGACCTGTCAACTGACTTTCGGCCAGCCTCAAAAAGGTTCTGGCAAACCATCCGGAATATCAGGAGGGGGAAGCAGCTCCTGGTTCCTACTATTTATAGTGGGGAGGGGGTACTGTTGACCTCACCTGGGGACATCACCCGGAGGTGGAAGGAATACTTTGAGGACCTCCTCAACCCTGCGTCAGATACCCATCACTGGGGCTGAGGTGGCCAGGGTGGTTAAAGAGCTATGTGGTCTGCCAATCCAAATGGAACACACCAAAACTGCCCGAAATGGGTTGACAGAGACATTTCAGGGATTTTGAGTCATTCTGCGCTGCAGATAGGTTAATTGCGTTAAGATCCACCCAGAATACCTAAAGGCTAGGGATGTTGTGGGGCTGTTGTGACTTACACACCTTCTCAACAGTGCGGGGAGGTCAGGGACAGTGCCACTGGATTGGCAGACCGGGGTGGTGGTCCCCTTATTTAAGAAGGGGGACCGGAGGGTGTGTTCCAACTACAGGGGGATCACACTTCTCAGCCTTCTTGGGAAAGTCTATTCCGGGGTACTGGAGAGGAGGGTGAGATCGATAGTCGAGGAATAATGCGGTTTTCGTCCTGGTCGTGGAACAATGGACCAGCTTTATACCCTTGCAAGGGTACTGGAGGGGGCCTGGGAGTTTGCCTATCCAGTCTATATGTGTTTTGTGGATTTGGAAAAGGCTTACGACCGGGTTCCCCGAGGTGCTCTGTGGGGGGTGCTTCTGGAGTATGGGGTCCGGGGTCCACTGTCGTGGGCAATTCGGTCCCTGTATGAACGGAGCAGAAGCTTGGTCCGCATTGCCGGTAATAAGTTGGACGTGTTCCCAGTGCGGGTTGGGCTCCGCCAGGGCTTCCCATTGTCATCGGTCCTGTTTATAATATTTATGGACAGGATTTCTAGGCGCAGCCAGGGTGTTGAGGGTGTCCAGTTTGGTGTCCTCAGAAGAGCCTCGCTGCTTTTTGCAGACGATATCGTCCTGTTGGCTTCATCTGCTGGGGATCTCCAGCGTGCTCTGGGGCGGTTTGCAGCCGAGTGCGAAGCGGCAGGGATGAGGATTAGCACCTCCAAGTCCGAGACCATGGTTCTCAGCCGGTGGATTGCCCTCTTCAGATCAGGGAAGACGTACTGCCTCAAGTGGAGGAGTTCAAGTATCTCGGGGTCTTGTTCACGAGTGAGGGTAGGCGAGATCGGGAGCTGGATAGACGAATTGGAGCGGCGTCTACAGTTTTGCAGGCGCTTAACCGGTTCGTTGTGGCTAAGAAAGAACTGAGCCGAAAAGCAAAGCTCTTGATCTATTGGTCCATCTTCGTCCCTACCCTCACCTATGGACATGAGCCATGGGTAATGACCGAAAGAATGAGATTGTGAATACAGGCAGCCAAAATGAAGTTTCTCCACAGGGTGTCTGGGCTCTCCCTTAAGGATAGGGTGAGAAGTTCGGATATCCGGGAGGGCCTCAGAGTAGAACTACTGCTTCTTCACGTTGAAAGGAGCCAGTTGAGGTGGCTTGGACACCTGGTGCGGATGCCTCCTGCGCGGCTACCCGGAGAGGTTTTCCGTGCATGTCCTACAGGGAGGAGGCCCCGGGGCAGACCCAGGACTCGCTGGAGGGATGATATCTCTTAGCTGGCCTTAGAATGCCTCGGCGTCCTCCCCGAGAAGCTGGTAGAGGTAGCTGGGGAGAGGGAGGTCTGGGTATCTCTCCTGAAGCTGCTACCCCCGTGACCTGAACCCCGGACAAGCGGCAGATAATGGATGGATGGATGGATCTTACTGCATCTCCGTTAGCACCACGGGGTCCCACGAGGCCACATTTCCCACAACTTCCAGTCATTCCCTGGGAAAAAAAATATATAGTGACAGCTTACTGTACAAAGCAAATGCACTGACCATAGTATAACCTTAAAAATATTGTGTTATGCATGCTATACAATGGAACCATGCTAGCTATCATAGAGTAGGAGGAAAGGGGCACATGTTGATCACTGTATGTTGCTGCACCCACCACACAACGAACCACCTCAGGGATGAGAACCTGAGTGCAGCTCTGCAGTGGGTGATACCTCAGCAATACAGTAGTCCAAATGGACCAGTGTGAGTTTTTTTCCAGTGGCTGGACTACCAATCCTGCCACTAACCTCCAAATTTCCCTGCAAGTTGGAAAATGGATAGGGTTGAAAGGGTGAACACAGTCCGTATATTATCAACAGGGTTGAGGTAAAAAGAAGCTCGCTGCTCAGCCTGCTGTGTTTAAGTACCCATGTGTGTCGATTAGTCGAATAGCTTATCATCAATACATAATTCTGAACTCAAATGATTTTTTAATAATACAGTTTATTTTGAGTGAATTTGTTTCTTGTTTTTGCATGTCATGCAATTACATCACATTTACCTATAGGTATAATTTGAAAGGATATTTAATATTGATATGTTGATATTTCTTAATAAAAAAAAGAAGTATTTAATGGGGTGTCCTAATTTTTTCACATGACTGTACATTTTTTACCCTGCATGTATAATTTTGACCCTGAGATCAAAAACCAACAATAAATTAAAACAAATTTGTGATTTTTTTTTTTATAACATTGTATAATCATTCTGCCACAGAAAAAGAACAGCCAAAAACTGCCATGACTGCCTCTGATTAGTGTATGTAAACTTTTGACCACAACTGTATTAATAAAATAGAAATAATGAAGGTATCTTATTGACTGTAGTTGTTAGACTGACAAACCTCTTAGTATCCAGTGTTTCTCCTAGATTTACAGCTTTTTTTTGGGGGGGGGCAGACATACACAGACAGGATTCATGGTGTTCACATGTTTCTTTTAATGACAGCAGTCAATATAACAACTGAACTAAACATCAGAACATTTTTTTTATTATATATATAATATAATACTGTCAAACGATTAAAATTTTTAATCAGATTAATCATGGGGTTGCTGTGGATTAATTTCGATTAATCACAATTAAATATCATTCATTTTTAATCTATATTGATCGCATTTCATTTTGCATGAGAAAACAGTCAAGAAAAGGGAATATATATGTACTTAAGTTTTTTGAACATCTTGAACACGAGTCGGATGCATTCCATCTGCCACAGAAGTGCAATACCATGGACCCATATGAAAAAGCAAGATTTTTTGTTTAGCCGGACAACTTGTCGGATTTTAGGTACCTCAGTTTAAATGGTCTTTATCTTCGTTCACTCACAATTAGCCCGAACTACCGTAAATCTAACAAATAGCCCGGTTAATTGCCATTGTTAGCAATATCAGTTGATAAGACATTATGTGCGGTGCTTTACGTATAAAACTCCGTAGCAACTCGTCCACAGATAAGTTGGACGGTATAGTGTGTGCGACCGATTTAATGAGCCACAAATGAGAAGTAGTGCTTAAACAGTATAAAACTACAATTTTCCCTTCTGTTGATAAATGGCGCAGCCATCTTGGATTCTGAACTCGGGATCCTCTGTGCTGCTCCGAGATATTTCGCATGCCGTCACTTCCGGCTTCAAAATTCGGAATCCGACTCAAATGGAACACACCAAAACTGCCCGAAATGGGTTGACAGAGACATTTCAGGGATTTTGAGTCATTCTGCGCTGCAGATAGGTTAATTGCGTTAAGAATTTTAATCAGATGAATCATAATGATGGATTAAATCCACGTTAACCCATTAATTTTGACAGCCCTAATATAATATATAATTATTCGTCATTTCGGGCATGTCAAACCAGATGGAGGTCCCAGGGTAATTATATATATAATTTTCCGACGCGTGTTCTCTGTCCACTGGTGGGAGTGTGCTCACCTGTGAGTGTGCACACGTGTCTGTGCCATGCGTCATGCGAGATACAGAGATCAGAGGAGTATTGTAAACACGTGACCTTGTAGAGATATGTTTACACTAGCTGAATACATATATTTCGACAATAAAAATACATTTAGACAATAAAACACAGTAACAGTAATTATTATTATAAAATAAAATACATTTAAAAATAAAGATTTCTTATTATTTTAATATTAATAATAAATTAGCATTAAATTGCAGACTTCAGACTTAGTTGCTGTTGGTCTAAATGACTTCAACTATGTTAACCATGCAGTTCAGGCTCTGAAGTCTATCTGTAAACTGTTTATATCTGTGTTAAGCTCAGGTGAATTTTATCTTGGGAGACCCCCCCCCACTCACTCAGTGAATTTTATTAAAGGGACCCCCTCTCACCTAAGTGTTATGCCCTCTGGCGCTCAGCCCAGCAAAATAATAAACAATAAACCCCATTCTGTTTTGTTTGACTGCCGTGTCCACGTCCTTCTTCCTGCTATACACATGTGCTTGAGTGTGTATCTGTATTACACTATGGTTAAACCTATTTTTATTGACTGCATGTATTGTAAATTTAGTCAACTGAATCTGAAGTAGATTTGGTTACCAAAATATTCAGTAACTTTCGTTGACTAAAACTACACTAAAATAAAAAATAAAATAAAATAAAAATAAAATCAAGTAAACAGATTATGCAGTTTGCTGAGTCTGCACCCCCTCAGAATATGGTGCCCTAAGAGGCAATCCATGTCACCTATAGGATTGACTTGCCCTGTCCTTAAATGACACGAGCAACATCCACCATAATACTTACAGGCAAACCAGGTTTCCCAGGAACCCCAATGTCCCCCTGAAAAACACAGAGAGAAGTGATTTAATTCCTAATCGATCATTCAATCCATCTATTTTCTGAAACCACTTGTATCCAGGGTCTGGGTGGTCCAGAAGATATGGGCACAAGACAGGGAACAGCCCAGGATGGGGCACAGACCCATCACAGGGCACACTCACACAGGGACACCTGTGGGCAACTCCAATTAACCTCACCATTTTATGAACTATGGGAGGAATCTGGAGTACCTGCAGGAAACCCTGTGATGACCCAGGGAGAACATGCACACACACAAAATCTTGGTGTATACTTGAACCCTGATCCAACAGGTTTCAGGCAACAGTGCTAACCAAAGAGCCACCACCAATCACTTAGTCTATTACATAAAAGTTTCATTTGTATAATTATAATGATATTAGGGATATTTAAAAGGGTCTTTTTCAAAATGGGGTCATTTTGAATGGCTAAGTATAATAGGCAGGGATTGACATAACTTGTACACAAGTACGCAGTCACCTTTAAAAGCGATACATGCGGCAATCAATTGTTGTAACAGCATGAATGCGTATGTATTTTATGTGCATTTGTGCCAATATGACAAGAAATTATTGAGCTTTTTAACCTTTATATGCTAATTCGTATTTCATTTGCGGTATAGAGGTTAAAATGCACTGTAATTTCTTGTCATATCGGAGCAAATGCGTATAAAATACGTATGTATTTGCACTGTTACATTAATTGATTGCCACACATATCGCTTTTAAAGGTGAATGCGTACTTGCTTACCAGTTATGTCAATCCCTGATAATAGGGTAATTTCAAATTATAATCGGTACTTACACGAGGGCCAGGCAAATTCAGAGGTTTATAGACATAATCCCCCTTCTGTCCTTTTGTTCCTTTCAAACCCTAAATATCCAGAAAAGAATGTCAGCAAATTCACCAAAAACCAGAGGTATGTTTTTGTTATTCGGTTATTTAGTCATTTAGCCATAAACATTATATATAATGTACATATGAATAATATCTGTCAGTGTGGCATTTACATGACTTTTGCAGGCATGCATTTCTTCCCACACTACTAAAGCATACAAATAGATGAATCAGTGTCTCTGAATTGCCCATTGTAAGTGTTCCCTCTGACAGAATGACATTACTTGCTGCCAATCTCAGGGATAGGCTATGACCCTGCATTTGGATAAGCACTTATGAAAAGTTGGAGCAGTCAGGGGTGCAGTTCTAACAAATCACCTGTTTTGACAGGTGGGCAGCTCAGTAAGAAGCACTGTTGCATTACACCCCCTGGGCTGGGGGGTTTGTAGCCTGCCCCTACTCACCGCATGTGGAGAGTTTCAATATTCTCGCCCTGTTGTGTGGCTTTTGGTGGTTTTCCAGTATTTTCCTGCTGTCCATAACATATGCATAGGTGAACTATCATCACTAAATTGCCCTGTGACCCTGTGGCACTTCAATGTGCACCCTGTCCTGTGCACTTCTTTATGTCTGCTGGTTCAAGAATTGGCCTAGTAAACATCTCACCTGTTGCCCACAGATCCCTTGATGCCCTTGTTCTCCAGGGAGACCCTGATCACCTTTTGGTCCCGCACAGCCATCTAGCCCAGGACAGCCTGGAGGTCCTTCAACACCAGGATGACCCTTGTGCATGACAAAAACCAAGCAATTAAACATGTGTAGGCATAAATACATAATGCAAAACTTAAAAATGAAAATGACTTGAGGAAAAAAAGAACAGAAAATTAGATTGCAATGAACTTCTATATTCCATTATCACAGTGTAATTACTCCCCAGAAACCACTTAGATTTTGGAAGATATTTCCATTACAGTGGTACCTCAGTTCTCAAACTCATTAGAACTCGAATTTCTTAAAAGTCGAACCAACCAGTTCGAAAAAAAAATGACCTAGAACTCAATCTGGATCTCAGAAGTCGAACCGTGAACGCCGACCTAAGATAACTTGTACGCGCTGGGAAATGAGTCATGCGGCATGTCTCTCAGCGGAAACAAAGGGTAACGCTTCAGTCTCAGCCTCGCATTCGCTGTGATAGCATCGTGCATGTTTACACTAGCTGAATACATATAGTTAGTGTCACGATCCGCTCCGTTCGATCCCGATGTGTGCCACGCCCACCTCGTTACCTCGTGTTCAGCCCTGATTGTGATCACCTGAGTCCTGTTATGTCTAGCTTGTCTTTTGTATTTAGTCCTCGTCTGAGTCAGTCTTCCCCAGATCCGTCATTGTATTGTTATGCGTTTCGTGAGTGTCTGCCTTCCAAGTCTGATTAAACCCTGTTTACCCGGTCATCTGGCTTCTCTCGCCTGCTTCCCTACTCGCCCGCCCACCAGTCGTAACAGTTAGGCAGTAAAAATACATTTAGAAATTGATTGATAGTAACAGTAATTATTATATAATAAAATACATTTTTAAATAAAGATTTCTTATTAATTATTATTAATTATTTTAATATCATTAACAATAAACCATTAATACATTTAATTATAATAATATTGTCGTGCCGAGCAGGGACGGAACGGAGACAAAGGTGCAGACGTCAGGGTACCGGGGAATACGGAGTTTAATTACAGGTAAGGCAGGCAAAACGCAGACAGACAATACAATGACCGGACTGGGGAAACAAACTGAAATGCGGACTAAATACAGAGGACTGATGACAAAAACCAGAAACAGCTGATCACACGGGGATTCCACACGGGGTTAACGAGGGGGCGTGGCACACGGAAGGAGCGGACAATCGGGGCAGGACACATTGGGCCTCATTCACCAATATTTTCTTAAGAATTCTCTTAAATTTGTTCCTACTAAATTTTTTAAGAACAACCTACGTCGGATTCATGACGTGTTCTTAAGTAGCAGAATTGTTTGCACCTTTGTTCTTAAGAATGGTGAATCCCACATCTTCGTAACTGAAAGCGCGTGCCAATTTGTCCAAATTAGCATAGGGAAATGCCCTGCAATTTCCCATAAAAGGGCATGAGACTGTTGGGCCGTGCGCAAGGAATGGCGAAGAGACACGCAGGCTGAGTCGCTTGTCACGAAGAGGAAAAAAAACTTCAGTAATGCTGAAGTAGAAGTATTAATATAGTAAAATCCAGTGGTGGAGGAAGTACTGAAGCTTAGTACTTAAGTAAAAGTACAAATATTGTGCAAAATATGCACTCAAGTAAAAGTAGAAGTGCTACATCAA